GGTTATAAGTAATTTCTGACAACTTATGGCAAATTTTCATAACTGAATGTCATAATAAAATTTCAAGTTTTTGGAAAACCAAGCCACAGTGTGTAAGCAATGAGTCTAAACTCATGTTTTTTTGTGTTAAAAGACTGCTTTGTTTGTTTTTTTTCATTCTTTTTCTGATGGTCAAGATCCCAACATACCTCACTGTCTTATAATCCATAGAATAACAGAATTGTTCAGGTTGAAAGATTTCAAAGACCATCTTGTTGATGGTCTCATGGGCAGGGACACTTTCCACCATCCCAGGCTGCTCCAAGCCCCATCCAGCCTGGCCTTGGGCACTTCCAGGGATCCAGGGGCAGCCACAGCTTCTCTGGGCACCCTGTGCCAGGGCCTGACACCCTCACAGGGAACAATTCCTCCCTAATATCTAATCTAGATGTTACTCCTCCAGTTTGCATCCATTCCCCCTTCTTCTATCACTGCATGCCCTTATAAAAAGTCCCTCTCCAGCCTCTTTGCCTGCCCCACTCCTTTCCTTCTGAACTGCATTTCCCTCCCTTTTTCCCTGTGTGCTATGAATTCATAATGAAATTCCATTCTCAGTCTGATCCATTTGACATTTCCATGAATGCTTCTGTTTAAACATGGTTATGAGCAAGGTCCTTTCCAACCCAAATTGTTCTGTGATTCTATGATTGGATCCTGCTCTTAAACCAATAGAATACAGATTGCCAGGGTAGCAGCAGAAAGAGCTGTGAAAACAAGTCCTTTGTCTCCAATAATTTGAGAAGCCTGCCCGATAAGTTCCTCCTCAGAGGTATTGAGAAACCTCCTTATTTCCTCACTTGTAAACACTTTCATGGTTCTGCATGGTTATGCATCTTCTCCAGAGTCTTTGGGAGCTTTTGGCTGTCCCTCATGCAAAGAGAAGGGATTTTGTGGGAATAGCAAAATTGATCCTGCAGACCTGCACCTTGGCATGTATGGTGACTTAGACTGTCAAATAAATGGTTTTGAAACAAATAAATAAATTTCATAATGGTTTTGATGATGTACAGTTTAAGATATAACTCCTTTCAGCAATGTAGTTTATTTAGTCAAAAACTTTAATCCATCCCAGTGACAAAACTCCTTCTTTACTGTGTTTAGGAGCTATTTCCACCACTCTCCACACACTTCTGGTAGGGGTATGGAAAGAAGACTGACCAAATCTTACTGCAGACATGAGTGTGTGCAAACAGTATTTGTGTGAATCTATAACAGGTTATCTGCTATTTTGCTATATATTTTGCTATATTTTTTCAAGGTTTTGAATTTTGTTTTTTACTCCTCAGAGGAATAAAAACAATCCTTCAAGCAATATTCACTGTTTTGAAATGTTTTGGTTTCAACAAAGCAATGTATTTTAAATACCTCTAAATACCTTAAAGATATTATTTCCCTTTCAGATAAGTATGCCTGTCTACAATTTTTCATAGGAGTGTAAGGCAACAAAACCAATTGCCCTCAAAGTTAATAGGAATTTGTTGCCTAGAAACAATATACTTCTTTAAAACTAATTAGTTGCCTAGAAACCATACAAATCCCTAAAACTTCTGTAGTTTCAACAGTGCCTAAGTGACATGCACTGTTTTATGCAAGAAAAAAGTAAGGTTTGAAAATAAGTATAGGAATGTGCTGTCAAGGTATAAGTAAACACCAGAACACTTAGAAAGCCTTAGGATGGGGTCTGGAGTGGTTCAGCCTTGCTGTGGTTTTATACATGCTGCCTTAAAGTGGGAATATTTTAAATGTTCTGGAGTTCAGGAAGCACTCTGAGCTGGAATAGCGTTGCTATTTTATTCCAGTAAAGCTGGGCTGTGCAGGCTGAGCTCAGTTATCCCTTTTGGGCTCTGCACTGATCTCCATGAAGCTGAGAAGAGCAGATCTGTGTGGTGGCCAGGGCTCAGGACAGCCCCAGGGAAGGTCAAAAGTCCTGTTGAAGACTCAATGTTAATATTTAGCAGCACAAAACAATACCTTCTGGAGCACCAGTAAACCAAATATTATACCTTACCCAGTTTACACACATCTACCATGCTTAGGGAATATTAGGGAATAGCTAATCCCAAAATAAACAAGAAAACATTAATCAAGCCTCATATAGAATTGCTACCACACTTGGTGCCATTAACTCTGAATTCACCACAACAGACTGTTTTTAGAAGAAAAAAAAAAGGAAGGGATATTTACTCTCCTTAAAAATTTTCATCAGAATTGTCAGAATTCATCAGATATCAAATGAATGTTTCACTGCAATTCCATTCTCACCTTTTAAGAAAAATGACATCCCTAAAGTGGAGTTAAGGCTGAAAACCAATGATATGAAGGCATTAAGTTATTTTTTTGCTCACCTGATCAGTCTGTGGAAGATGTCAACAGAAGTTTAAGATCCACTGGGACTTTGAGAGCACTGAACAGTAAACTTCTATTTTAAAATCCACTGCAGTACCAGCACTGTATATCACACACAAATCTATGCAGCTGCTGAATTCACATCAGGGTTTATCTGGCACTTGTTTTAAATGTCCAGTGTTCATCCAGCCTTTCTTTCAGCTGCTCTTCTAACAAGGTACACTGGGGGAACAATGACAGCAAGAATCTTGGTTTTCTCTCTTGGGGCAAGTGAGTGGAGCTTCACAAATTTTATGTATTCACCTACTTACCTATTATTTCTTTCTTTTTACCATGAGAGATCCAAGCCTGGCAAACTCCATTTTAAATAGGCTGCTGCTCTAAAAAAAAAATGCAAATGATTCCATTAAGGACACACTTTATTGTTTACTGCTGAAGTTGCTGCATTAAAAGGAATCTGTATGAAAAATAATGAATGGGAATCAATATCTACAAAAACTATTTCAACCAGCAAAGATAAATGGTTTTCTAGCTGTTTGTGCTGAGCTGCTGTGCTGAGCAATACCTGTATTTATATTCAGTGCTGTCTAAAAAAAGGGCTCTGAAAATAAACATTGGGAAAGTAATCACCTGAGATCTGACACTTTAAAACTAGTGGTCAAAATTAGTATTCTGAAGTCATGAAGCAACATTATATGTGACTGAACAGTTGCTGTTACTGGGATACACTGATTTATCACCTCCTGCAAGGTGCAGAAGTAAATTCAAAAGGTCTACAATAAAATTCCATATGACAAAAAATAGAATTTAATTCAATTCTTTTTATATTGTAACATTTAATATCCAGAAATTGTACACAAAAATTATTTTAGAAAATAAATTTTTAAATCAGATTATTCAGGCTGCAAAATATCCCTTCCCCCAAAATAACTGGACAAACCAGGTATGGCATTACTATTCTCTAAAAAAATGACATTTTCAGAAGCCTCACAACATTAAACTTTATTGTTATTATTATCATGGTGAAATGTTTTTAAACATGCTAGGTGTCATTTATGAATGCCTCAGAAAATAAAACTACTCACAGGCTAAGTAGGTTTTGAATGTGTTTATTTCTTTAACTTCTTTACTCAGAGATAAATCTTTTTCAGGTAAATTTTTAAGAGAATGTAGAACAAATCCCACCTACCATGACAAATTAAATTACACTTGAACCTAGGAATATTTACTTCACCAGAAATGCTTTAATCTAATGAATTATGAAGAAAAAGAATGTTCAGGTGTTGAGTCATGCCATGATTGTCTTCTTTCCAATCCCAGACCTGAAGAGTTATTCAACTCTGTATTTTTACATTTATGTTTTATTCTTTTATTTACAGTCACAGTGGAAGAGCAATTGGAGACCAATACAGGATACATCAGTAAACTGAGATACAAAGAAAGCAAGAATGCTGAAACAAAGGAAACACGTGATTTTAGAGAAATTCATCAGACTGTGTACAGTGGGTCCCTTCTGTGACAAAACCTTTGACTATGGGAACAACTGAATATAAGTTCTTTTTCCTCTTTTTCTCAGAAGAGTAGATGATGGGGATAATGGGAGGTGCAGTCCCAGGTGTTAGAGCCATAGTTATTGCAGGTACTGGGCTGGGAGACCTTGTAAAATCCCAGAGGGAGGTTTATAGCTAAAAGTCACCAAAACTAAGGATTGTGCTTTGTTATTGATCATTTTCCCTCAGGGAAAAAATAAGAACTTATACTTTTGATAAATGTTTCATTTTTTTTATTTGATAGAGTTTTTAATTTTACTCTTTTAGCAAGTTGAGGCAAAACAGCTCAATCTTAGTCCTGAAAGACAAATATTGGTCTTGGCAGCTAAGCTAATCACACAGCCCTTCAACAATTGCAGGTGATTTCATAGAATCATAGAATGGTTTGGACAGGGACATCCTCCACTGTCTCAGGTTTATCAGAGCCCAATCCAATTTGGCTTTGGACATTTCCAGGGATGTGGCAGCCACAGCTTCTCTGGGCACCCTGTGCCAGAGCCTGACCACCCTCACAGTAAAGAATTTCTTCCTGATATCTGACCTAACCCTGCCTTCTGTCAGTTTGAAACTCAGTCTGACATTGCTCCTGTCCTGTCCCTCCAGGCCTTTGTCCCAAGCCCCTCTCTGGCTCTCTTGTAGCTCCTTTAGGCACTGGGACTGTTTAGCAGGAATGTGAAGCTGTTTCAAAAGTGTCATGGCCTTAGAGGGGGAGATTTCAGGGAGTTCATATTTTTATGTACTTTGATTATTTTTTTCAGTAGGGAATTAAGCCCTTGAAAGAGAAATATTTTCTTGTGATAGTGCTGGATCCTGCCCCAGCTTCCCCCTGCATTCCAGCTGGTGGAGAGGAGCACTGCTGGGTGGAGGAAGGTGTGAGACAAGCTGTAAGGAATCACAAGTTTAATGCAGGCTGGAAATGGTTAAGTTTTGATGGCTCACAGATGTCAATTTTCAAACATCCTTGAAGCACACACACCTGAGAATGGCTGTGCTGGGGTGAAGACTTCTCTTGCCTTCGAAACAAAGGGACTGCTTGAGCTCACAATTGGTGTCTGTGATCAATTTTCCAAACAAAGGCACTCAAACCACTCTGCTCAGAGTCTCTCTGAGTCTCAGAGCCCTCTGCCCACATGTCTTATTCCAGCCCTTCAGTCTTTACTCAGACAAAAGTTTTACTTGACCTTGAGGGCAGTTTTGCAGAACAGGAGGCTGCAGAGAGGTAACTTCCATCCCTATTAGGGCTGCAAAGCTCACCGACTACCTCCTTCACATTCCCTTAAATTTCACCAAAGGCTGTAAAAAGAAGAGTTTAATTTCTTTGACACACACTGCTTCAGTTGCTGGCACGACAAGTTGTTTCTCACTGAGGCTCTCTAAAATACTATTGATTTTGGCAGGATGGCTAAAATGAGCTCCTGTCTGCTTCTTATCATCTCCCAGAGACAATGCAAGACAGCTATGGACAGCATCCAATCTGCTTTGGAATCACAGGGTTCTCACTGGCAATTTCAAATAATGGGCAATGCACTCTTCGTGGCTTAGGTCCAATTTTGTTTTGTCAAAGAACACAACTCTTCTCTTTTGCCACTTTGAATAAGATGACTCATGCTGCCTTGCCATTTTCAGCTTCTTGAGTGAATTATACCTGGTGTCATTTTTAACGTTTTTCTATAACTAAATAGACTCTGTACCCAGAAAATGTGGCTCCCATATCAGAAGAGCAAAGGAGAATTTATTGTTCTCTATCTCATAAAATTATTTTGTCTTTTGTGACACAAATACAGATAGAAATGATTTACTCTTTCTTAAGTTTTTGAAGTCCTTTCAGTGGTGAAGTTTCTTTTGTGAGAACAACAAAATGAAATATGCAGGAACAAAGAACAGAAAAACACCACTTTGCTGACAACTTTGTGTAAATTTGTACAAGTCACAAACAATAGAATCTATGATTTTCTCTCTTCCTGATAGGCATTTGTTTTATTTGATTATCTCTTTACAAGAGATTTTTTTATTTTATAACTGTAAAAATGAGAAAAAGTTTGCAGGCAATGTTTTGCACAGGACTGAGTGATCTCTGTGCTCTTCAGCAGAGTTTTCTCCTCTGTAGAATGACAGGTTTGACATCATGATGGACACATAGGCTCTGGATAGACAAAAGGCAGGAAAATGACAACAGGACCAATTTCTCTGGTTTGTACCATGGACTCAAGTTGTTATGTCATCTACACCAGGATATGAGTAAGGATTGAAGAACATCCTTACTGTGAGGATGGTGAGGGTCTGGCACACGTTGTCAAGAGAAGCTGTGGCTGCCCTATCCCTGCAGGTGTTCCAGGCCAGGCTGGATGGGGCTTGGAGCAACCTGGGATAGTGGGAGGAGTCCCTGATCATGACAGAGAGGTTGGAACTGGATGGGCTTTCAGGGACCTTCCAACCCAAGCCTTTCTATGATGATTCTATGATGAACGTGGCTGTTTGTTATGATTCAACTGTAATATAGTGAGAAAATATTACTGTTTTGTGTTTTATTCTTTAGTTCAATTTATGAATGCTCAGCTGGGTGTCTGGGATTCCCAGTTATTAGAGAAGACCGTGGAGTGGTTGGTAGTTAGAATAAAAGCAATTAGAATGAATAAAAGTAATGGCAGAGGGAAGGAAGCCTGTAAATCCTTTAGCAAACAGATGAGACCTGAAGTCCATGCAGTGTTAATCTAAATGAAGCACACTCTAAGCACAGTGGAAAGCTTGGTCTGCAATTTTTATAACCCTTTGATACACCAGAGATCACATTTATCCCTTGTCTTCATTCTGATTTTGCAGCTCACTAACTTCACAGGAAGTCAATTTGGGAAACATTTATCAGCCTGAAGATGAGCTGGGGAAGATCTCACTGGGGAGAGATGATGATGACTTGGCCTCCTGGCAGTCCCTACCAGAACCATCGTCTGCGCTGTGTAACCAACCATATTTTCACTGAACATCAGAAGTTTCACTCGTATTTTACTGAACAAAAACTCTGCCTGCATTAGCTCTTGTTGTGTTTGATTTATTGATGAGGACAAGAGAGTGCTTTCCAAGGACAACACAGAAAGTTTGGAGAAACCAGAGCAGCACCAGTGCTCAACAGGGCAGAGACCACAATGCCACAACAATGCTCCCGTGGCAATACTCAGTGGCTACAGGGCAATATCATGGTGAGAAATGGCTCCTGAGACCAGCCCCTTGTGGTTTTTAGGTGTTCACTTTTGGGGGGTCACACTGTGATTTATTTTAACCCTGTAGTTTCCCCCATGCCACGAAACTGTTGTACATTGCAGCACATCTGCTGCCATTTAGGAATTTACAGCTGCAAGTTACTTTTGACACTTGAGATGTCTCCTCTTTGACTGCAGCCGTGGGGATAAAACCCAAATCACCTTGCTTATGGTGGCTGTTTATATTGTGGGAACTACTGATGTTCTTAGTGGGATCCCAGCTGCACAAGTGTGCCTTGGGTGTATGTGAGGGCTGTGCTTTGGGCCCAACTCCAAAGTCACTTTGCTGATCACACAATAAAACCTTCGGGACCAAAAAGGCACTGACAATATAAAAAAACCCTGTTGCATTAAAGTATATGACAAATTAAACATCTTCTACATTGTTTTTTTTTCAAACTTTCTGATGCACAAACACATAACACATAAATTATTTACATTAAGGGAAATATGTAACATAACACTGTGATCAATGTGGTAGAGACTCTAAAGGATGTCTCTGTGTAAAAAAGTCCCTTGAACAATTAGGGGAAACTTCTTTTATTAACAGCCTTTTGAATTCACCCTCTTTATTTCTCCTTTATAAGCCATTAATGGATATGTCAGCTAAAAAAGTAACCCCACAAGAATCAGCTTTGGAAAAGATAATCTGAGATCATCTAAGTTCACTGCCATTAGTGTGGAATTGTTCTCTATAGCATTGTCTCTATAGCATAATTTTGGGTAACTCAATCACAAAATTATTTTTCTGTTTCTCCATTGGCTTCATCATTAACTAGCTGAATAGTTTAAAAAAGAAATGAAAGGTTTTTTTTAAAAATCTTAATTCTATTGCTTTTGATTTTCTATAGCCTATCATCTTGCATGACCTGTAGCTTCTTTATGTGTATTCATTATAATGATTTTTCAACTGTATTGTTGCAAATAGGGACCAGAAAGCTAGATTAGTTTGTGGAGTTTGTAAAATTTAATTAGAAGACATAATTTTTCTGTTGCTATTGGAAAATTTAATCAAAATTCTATTTAAACACACACACACGCATATATATACGCACAAAATACACACACCACTGTTCAGTCTGTTCTAATGGTAAGATCATGGAGCTTAGGCCCTATTTCTATTTTCAGATGTGAATTATAAATTATAAAATACATATTCATGAGATTATTTCTGTTTGTTCTTTCATCCAGTTATCTGGGAAATGCTCAGTGACTGATATGAGCATTGGAGAGAGCAGCAGTCCAAGAAGTTTCTTTCTGACCTTAGAACCACAGGGTTTTCACAGCAGGCAGAGATGTGAATTCAGACCATAAAATACTTGCAGCTTCTGTGAATCACTTTATTTTCAATGGGAAAAATGTAAGAAAAGCAAGTAAAAGGTTTATGGTAACTCCTGTTCTGTACTGTCCTGTAGTAGAGCATCTATTTCCAGGCTACCCCCAGAGACTAGCAGGAGATAAACAGAAGTATCTCCATAATTCTGCTAATTGGAGCAATCAAAAATATGTCTGCACCATTCTCACTTAGTCCATGGTTAAATCTATTGTATTAATATTCTATTTTTATTTCCTACATTTTTCCTATATTTTTTTCCTCTCTAATTCATCTGTGAGAACCCATTAACTCAGAGCCCAAAGCAGTAAGGATAGACTTTGAACCTTAGCTCAGCTTCCATTTCCATTGTTTGTGTAATTATTCTTTAATCACTTTTTAGGCATCAAAAACCACTGGATCTCGATTATTTGGTCTAGGAAATGGTGAGGACAGAGATATTATGTCCCACAGGAAAAAGATGAATGAAATGACTGTCTAGGTTTAAGCTCTCTGAAAAAAAAACAAACCCAAAAACCAGAGGATACCCATCCTGATTATCAATTCAACCCCAAATTTGGGTTAATATTTCATCTTTTTATGAAACCTAAGTACAAATTCACCTACACTTTCTCACAAACTTGTTAATTAAGCACTCTTCCTCCTCCCGTTTAATGAATAAGACAACTGAAGATGACTTTATTTACCCATTTTCAATAACATGGCAGTGCTGGTGGACAATTTTCTGTAGGAATCTGAATTTCTGCTGTAACCTTTGCAAAGGAGACAGCAAAGCCCATGCTTGTCATCCTTAGATTAAAAACCAAATTATTGTATTACATCCTACTAGGGCATAGTTATCCCTGATACAGAGACCACATTTACCAGGAGATAATCACATTTCCTGTAAATGTGGCAGCTCCTGAGCTAATGGCAGTGCTATTACCTAAATATGTTACCCATTTCAGCTAATTAGACCTGCAGTAAAAATGAGAATTGCCACACCCATCAATGTTGATGGGAGAAACACAGCTCCTATAGCAGCTCCAGCTTCCCTGTGTGCATTTGGCTGTATTTGTGCTTCCTGTACACCTGCTAACCTGCCAATAAAGCTTCCACAAACTTACAGTTTCACATTGCTTATGTGTTGTGATAAATCCATCCTAAATCTGAGGGTGTGGGGGATAACTGTCTAATACATCTCAAAGAACTTTTTTCTTTGTTTCTTTGTTTTGTTTTGTTTTGTAGGCTTGGTTTAAAAATAATCTCCAGTTTTTAAACTTTTTTTCTCCTCATGATTTAACAAAAAAAAATCCCCGTATTATTCTTGGTAATCCTTCCTATTACATTGCATAAGTGGTGATTTTATGCTATTATTTTCTGTTGGTGTCAGCAATCAGCCAGGCCATGTTTGGTCAAGGAGCAGGTGGAGTTTCACACCACAGCACCAGCAAGGTTGAGGGATTTTTCTGGGAAGATTTACAATAGAGCAGAGCTCACTCTGAAAGAGAAAAAAGCACTCATGGGTAAAATAAAACATTACTGAAGTTTCAGGTTAACAGTTAATGATCACACAGTTCTTTGCAGGCAATTACTGAAGTCTTTTTAAAGCCCCTTTTGTGGCTGCTGAAGGGGCCCTTGGAGGTTCCTGTACTACTGATACCATTTCATCAAACCATCACTTTGCTTGCATCTGAAAATGCAAAGTTTAACACTCTCCTTTGGAGATTATTCAATGTAATATTCTCCCTCATAGTCATTCAGCTGAGTGTGACTTATTTCTGCAATGCAGCAATGTCTGAGAACACTGATACAACATCTGAGCACTGAAACTGGGATCTCTGAACAAGTTTAAAATGTATGTGCAAAATTTATCTATCACTGGCAGTCCTGAATAAAAAATACCCCAACCTATTTATTGCATTATTTTGGGTTTTTTTCCTTCTCTCTAGGTTCATATTCAGCAGAGAATTGTTTAGGAAATGACACTAAGATAACACATAACAAAGACCAGTCCTGCACTAAAGACTCACAATAGAAATGCAGTCAATGGAAAAAGTTGATAGCTGTTTCTGTACATGAATTTAGACCCAAAATAAACACATCATTTCCCTAAGGCGACAAGAAGTCTTTAGAAATGTTCATTGTTCATCACATCCTTTCACATGGGCCTTGCAAATGGAAGAAACACAACCAATAACAATCCTCTGTCCTCCTGAGTGTGCTTTTATCCTGGTGCATCACCAAATTGTGTTTTCTTCCAGGTCTCAAATGCAATTTTCCATGGTACCTGGGGGCTGACAGGCTGGGGCAGATGCTGGTGCTCAGCCTGGAGAAGGGAAGGCTCCAGGGAGAACTTGGACACCCTGCAGTGCCTGAAGGAGAGCTTGGGACAAGGGGTGGAGGGACAGAACAAAGGATGAATGGCTTTAAAAAAGAGGACAGGTTTAGATTGAATCTTGGGGAAAAATTATTCCCTGAGAGGGTTGTGGGGCCCTGGCACAGGGTGCCCAGAGAAGCTGTGGCTGCCCCTGGATCCCACAGGGATCCCACAGGATCCCACTGGATCCTGGCCAGTGTCCAAGGCCAGACTGGATGGGGCTTGGGGAAACCTGGGGTAGTGGAAGGTGTCCTGTGGAAGAATCTTGTTTAGAAGCCTTATATCTTATGATTTAGGTACTCAAACTATCTAAAAGCATCCAGTTTGCTGGAAGGAATATAAAGTATCCTAGGGGTTGCCTAGTGAAGGCTGGAAATGATCTTGTCTATATTTTGTCCAATTAATCACACTTCAGCTGTCCCATGAATGGCTTTCCTCTTACAATAACATCAGTTACAGAGACTGAGTTTTGTACTAACAAAAGATGAGGAAGACTAAAAAGAAAGACCTTAAAAAAAGTTAATATCTGAAGATCAGCCTTAGCTTACAGTTAAAACAGTGACACACTCTCCTGAAAAATCTGAAGAGATATTTATTGCAAGTTGAACAGCAACTTGTAAATAAAATTTAGAGATTGATTTTCAATGGACTTAAAAACAGGGATTTCATCATTCCAGATAGAATTCTCACCAAAGCCCTTGCACTACATAGTGCCATATTAATATGCATGCACAGGCACAAACATATGTCACACACAAAATGCCACCTGATATGAAAATCACAGTGTACTACTTTTTCTTTTCCACTTCTTCTGGAATCACTTTTTAAAAGAGTATTAACATTAACATTTGGAGTTTCCATCCATAGATATATTCTACATTTATTTTACTACTTCAAGAAAATGTAAAACAGTTTAAATATACTGTAATGCTCAGAAATCCTTTTTTGTGCAAATGTACAGCTTCTAAAATCTTTCTTGTAAAAAGATTCACACAATTTAGGTCAAAATACTGGATTTATAACTCAGTATTTATTTTTTTATTCTAACCCACTTTATCTTCTATAGATCATTTGATAATCCA